TGAAATAAAGTAATCTAAGTAATAGCCATTATTATGTCGATACAAAAAGTAAGAAATAACATTTTCATTTAAGATTCGGAATCTTCTATATCATTAAATTAAACGTTTCAATAACGAGATAACAACAGAAAACAAGGTAACAGAATACAGTGATTAATTATAGCAAAGCTGAACACCAGACATAATAAAAACGGCCTTTTTTAAAATTTTTGAAATATAAAACCTACTTAACTGAATTAGTAAGAGGTAAAGTAAGGGCCGTTTTCTCGTCCGTTTGTTAAATTTAAAATTGGGTTAAAACAATGATTTCCCATATGATTTCAAGGTTTTCACCCTACTTTAAATTTAACAAACAAACGAGAAAAGAGTCCTAAGTACGTTTACGGAAATAATCGAAGAAAAAAGCTCCTTTAAAACGCATTAAGATAATTATCCCTTTATACTTTTCAAGTTTATTATTGCGTTGCCAACGACTACATGCATTATCTACTTGCGAAAAACTCCCCTTTTTTAATACATTAAAAAACATGCTGAAATGGGAAATGAAATGAAAAACAAGGCGCCCAGACAATACCGATTTACGATTGTACAACTTAATTTGTGCCCTGCTCATTTACGCGCCATTGCGCCAAACAATTCCATGTTCTTCTGGCCATATCTGAAATTGCCGGACTACGGATGCAAATGCAGGGAAATCGCAGTTGGCCAGCTGCCGGTTGGCCAAAGAAAACGGAGGCCCAAACCGATGCCACATGCCAGAAGTTAAGCTCAAACGGGATGGGGAAAGGAATATGCTTGTGGCAGAGTCAGTGGCACTGGCAGTTGCAGTTGCTGCCGTGGATTGGATGTTGCAGTTGCCGCCGTGGATGTTGCACTTGTTCCTAAAATATATACACGCCGAGGAGCCAAGCCAACAAACAAAACAGAGGGAGCAAAACACAGAAATTGCACTTGGCACGCTTCCATTTTTGGCCAACTTGCCTTTGTCTTTGTGAACCGTATTCGAGGACTGCAGTAAAAATTGTTTTGGTTCTTTTCCAGCCGGCTATACGGCTACATGGCTACATGGCTATATGTAATCCCTAACGCTTGCCAATAAACACGAGTCTTGACTCTTCATAGCTTTGACCCGGCACATTAATATTCACGATGTCCTGCCCTGCCCTCAGTGCACTCGGCTTGCTTTTTATAACCTTTTAAATTAAAGGGTATGTTGTATTTGAGGGTCCTGATGGGAAATACAGGAAATGTAATATAAAGATTGGCTAAGATTCAGACACAATAAAGGTGATCCTGTTAAGACATTTATTTAATCTACGGAAAAGGTCATAAAAAATATATTGATGGAAACTGGAAAAAATAAAAAAAAAAACATTTTTTATTCTTGTTTAAAATTTTTAAACATTTTTTAAATCTTATTTTAAAGGAACTAGCCAAACGATATTAAAACAGTATTTTAGTATTGTTTAAAAATGGAAATAAAATATTTCTAATATATAATCTTCTTGTTAAATTTTTAAATTCACTAATAAGACCCCCATGATCTTCATATATTTTTTCAAGATCACCTTTTAAGGTAAAACACCTAAAGGTAGGCAACACAATTTATGCATTACACATGAGACCAGGTATCATATATTCGAGTAGCATCTTTCACATTTCCTGGTTTTTTTTTAGAAGAGCAGCCATTTGGGTGCCGTCGAATCCATCGCTGGCAGCGATAATTGTGACACGTCGCTGGCCAAAAATCGATGCTGACCCAGTTCAAAGCGGCGGAATAAAATGCCGGAGAGACAATGACAGGGGGATAAGGACGAATGCGAGTACGAGTACGGGAATACGAGAAAGGAGAAGGGGGAATACGAGTACGAGGGCCCGACAGACAGGGCAAACATTTGCGCCTGACGCGCGGATATTATTGGCATTAAGTTGCAACTTGGCCCGCTGTTGCGCAAATGTTTGATTTCCACTTAGGCGGGTCGCCGCTTTGTCTTCCGCTTTGACTTTGATGGTTCCCCTTTTCCATTCTATTATATCTTTCTCTCTCTGTGCAAAGATTAATGTGTCTCCAATTAAACGAATGGGTATGTCAATAAATCCATGATGGCGAAAGTTTCACAAAATGCCATGGCTGTAATTTGATATTAAACACATTTCACCCAATCGGATTTAATGTAATGCCTAGATTATCAACCCATTTGTATTCCTCCTCCAATCTCTCATCCGAATCCATGATGTCATGGGAGGCATCATCTTGTCGACTGTGAACCAATTTCATTTTAATTATCATAATCTCTAGTATAAATAAACATGAGCTGAGAGTTCGTTTCGCGATATGAGAAAATATTATGCTGCAATTGCCTTTTTTGGCTGGGGGTCTTGTAAAATTTAGCACAGACAAATGTGGCCCTGATGGTGGTCAGTCCAGTTCTGATAAGCCCACTCACTCGGGGGACTCCCACTCGGTGCTAAAATTCTGGTACAAACGAGCGAAATTTATAGCAAAATATCGAAAAAATATACAAATCTGAATCAAAGTTCGTTCAGCCACCACATTTTCGAACAATGACGCTATGCCACCGGCTGTTGACTGTTTGTCTGCAGTAAAATTAGAGTAACTCAGCCTGTAGATCGACTGGTAAATACCTAAAATGATCATTTTCTGCTTAATGTAAATATCACTCATACGCAGTGTTGACAATTTACTACCAAAAATGTATTGTTTAATTCGAAATAAAATAAGCAAACTACAATTAAGATGTAAGACAAAATTTAAATTTGTTACAATAAAATGGTATATATAAAAAAAAATACATTATGTATTCAATTAAATCTTTAAAGGTTTTTATTGTCAACTTTGGCCTTCTTGATAATAACAATTTATATTTTAAAAATCCATTAGGGCAATTCATTTGCTTTCTACTTTTTTAATATTTACAGGTTTTTCCCAATTATCATCTTTTTTTATGACAATCCAAAATACCTCGACTAAAAAACCGCTAGAGGGTACTAAAATCCGTAGGTCGTCGTCTCAGTTGGCGGCAACAGAAAACCGGTCTTCGGTTACTTGGAAATGAATCTATGCGTAGTATGAAAAAAATACACTCTCGTATATAGTATATCGTATAAAGCGCAAGCAACAGAACAGTAAGTGTTTGTTTATTGCAAAACACGACCCAAATAAAGAAAGAGAGAGACCCGAAAAAAGCGACACACTTAAGTAAAGTACCAAAGTACAAGCCAAATTAACAAATTCACAGACGGAACAAGTAGAGTTTCTGGGGAACGAGTTGAGGGAACCTCCGACCCAACGATCACAAATTAGCCCGATGCTATTTACTGGCGATGATGATTTCAACCTGTTTTGTAGACCCACGCAAAATAGCACCAAGATCCCAGCCATATAAGCAAGGTTAATCTGCGTATTAGCTTACATTGCAAACTTAGTGATTTTCACACTCTAGTTAACATTAACGCAACAGAAAATCTGGCCAGACAAAGTGCGTCGCCAACTGAGACTAATGTAGTTCAAGATCATGCGTAGACTCGGGCAAAAACTAATGTTGTAGTTGCACTGACCAAAGAAGTCTCTGCGATCTTGCCTCTTTAAAGAGTTTTTGGCCAGAGACGAAAGACTCGTCTTTTGCTGGCCTCGTTGCCGCTAGATTAGAAAGTGAAATGTGTGCAGAGTTAAGCCGAAGTTAGACTGGGGCAATGATCCACTAATTAGCGGACAGCCAAAAGACGGATGCGGGCAGCGAAATCGGAGTTTATGTGGCCATTTCACGCAATCAGACTTTCAGAGGAAAATACCAGACAGAAAACAAATACTCTGAGTTCTTATTCCTTTTATTTTGCACACTTAAATCAAGTTTAGTAAAAGCAAAAATAATAGAACAGACGTTATTAGCCTAATGACAAGTATAATAAAGTTGCCATGTCATCAAAACAATCTATATTTAGAAACAGCATCAGGTAAATCCAAATTCTAAGCTGATTTTAATTCATATATAAAATCGTTGTAGCAATACCAAGAATTATTATCAAAGTAAATTTAGATTCCTAAATTGTTTAACAAAAAAGTAAGTAGTTATTAAAGTAGACTGTTTGAGAAGCGCATAGAAAGGCTGTCACTGGTTCAAGTATTGGCTAAGTGAAAGAAAATGTATTCCAGATTGCGATCTATAAGTTTAGAATTACTTAAACACAAATTTCCGAAGAATCTTTTAACCTGTTTCTATGGCGATGCATCCCTAATAAGAAAAACTTGGCTACCGCATAGACAGACGGTTGACATCACCATTTCCTTGCGTTTTGGCCTGGGGCAAGACAATTTATTCCATAATTTGCGTGCGAGTACGAATTCATTTTTTCCAAACCAAATATGGCCAAAAGCTCATCAGCTGCTTTCTAACCAGACATTCTCCGCACCCTCTTCTCCCCAGAGAAGACTCAGGCCAATCGAGTGACCATATTTAATGCTTGTCACGTAACGCTCGCTCATTTTCATGCACAGTTAGTCATCATCCAGAGTCATAAAGCGATATGCTCGTATATCCGTTGAACTAACCACATTTTCCAGAGCACTCCACTCATATCTGGCCCTCTTTCTCGGGGGCAACTCAAAAAGTGACAATTAACACTCTGTACTAGAAATCCCGAGTGCTTTTTCGGGTTCGCTGAAGCCATTAAAATGTTAAAAAGTTCCCCGTCAAATCTCACATTTTGCATTATCTGTTTGTCGTTTATTTTGTATTTTTATTTACTTAACAATAATTTTAGGTAGAAAAAAATTCACAACACACGATACGAATTGTTCGGACTGATGGATACATAAATCATTTATTTGCCCATTATCGATGGGCAAAAACAGCGCTTGCAAAGCTGAGCTCCCAGCCGTGATAATGACGCAATATCAGTGACTTTGTCATATTGGAAAGAATATATATGTGCTATATATCCACTCATTCTGGCCTGACATATTTACACTCGGTTAACGCCTACCGCCAGGGCATTTTGATCGGCGATCGGTTGCGACGTGGCATGGGGGCGGCATTGTGGGCGGTGGTGTGGGTGTTGTTGTTGGTGGCGGCACGTGTCATCATCGGTGGTTCGCGCCGCCCCAAAAAGACAGTGGGACCGCCGGCGGAGGAGGCTCGGGGATTGGGCTTCACAGGTGCATTGTAGTGCCCCCCGAAATAGGTCGTTGGCTGCGGGCGACTCTGGGGTTTACTTCCGTAAAGCTGAACCCTGGTGGGCGCCCTTCCTCTGGTGGGTGGTGTCATGACCTTTCCCTGATCGGAACCAATGTGCACCAGGGTTCGAGCTCCCTTCTGCTGGTTAATATGGGTGCTCTGCTCCTGACCCACACTCAACCTGGTGGGCGAGCTCTGCTGGCGGTACCATCGAGATCCCTGACTGGAACTGGGACTCGTTCGATTGGCCAGCAATCTCTGGGCATAGTACTCCGTGGTGGGCATGGGCTTGGCCACGCCCACGGGCACAAATCTGCCCGGGGAGTGTGGCGATATGGAGTTCTTGATCTCGATGCGGATGGAGGGAGCAGGTTGGGGAGCCGGCGAGGGTGACATGTGGCGCACTGAGGGTTGATTCACCCGGAAGGTCTCGTTCCGTTTGACCGGCGAACGGGTGGCGGAGCGGGAGGGACGATCCCGGAGCGGGGAACGCGACTGCGGGCGGTAGTTCTCATTATCGAAGACAAGGAAATCGGGTCGATTCTCCTTGGACTCGCGACGTTCCAGGGGCTTGGTGGCGGATGTTTTCGCGGGAACCTCCACAAACCAGGCGGGATTGTGGGGCGTCTCCTTTTGCTGCTGCAGCAGGCGATCCCTGAAGGATTTCCTAAAGCTATTCAACGTGACCGTCTTGTACTTCTCACGCTCATCCTCCTCCCGCTGCTGATCCTCGAGGAGATCATCGTTTGAGTGCGTCTTCAGCTGCTCCAGTTGCTCCCTGAGATGCGTGGGTGTTTTGCTCTTGCGGTAGGTGGATGAATCGAAGCTGCCACTGGAATTCGAACCTATGCTGGCCTGCCGGTGGATGCCACTGGGTTCACCGCCCGATTGCAGGGCCCTCAGATTGGAGTGCTGTTCGTAGAGGAAGTTGAAGGGATCCGCCTGGGCATCGTAGTCCTGCAGACGATCCGCTCCATCGCTGCGCCACTTGTAGTACGTATTGGTGGCCGTATCGCTCGGGTGATGCTCGTAACTGGCCACCTCTTCGGGCGACGGGGTCTTCTTGCGCTTGGTGAAGGTGCTGAACTTGCTGAAGACCTTGGACTTTTTGGATTTCTTCTCCAAGGTGGAGGTGTTCGACGCCGGGCCCGCTTCCTCCTCGGAATTGGGCAGTATGAAGGTGTCGCCGCGCTGCAAAGTTGAGCTGGTGGTGGAATCCCTTCGATTGGTGGTGGTGGTGGTGGAACCCACGCCACTGATCACGCTGCCTGGACGAGATCCGGCGGAGCGAACCGGTGTGGTGTCGCGGGATGAGGAGCGGGAGCTCTTGGCCCGCGAAGACGAGGACAGGGAGGAGCGTATATTGCGAAAAAACGACATCACTGGAGATCAATGGTGATCTTCGATCGATCTCACTGTCTCTCTCTCTCTCTTTCTTTGTAATCTTGAATCTCGAATCTCCGATCTTGGCTAATTAACCTTGGCAAGCGACGGGCCAAAAGTCTCGATCCACGAACCGACGCTGTCAACTGCCGCTGAGCAACTGAGCGCCAAAACTTCAGTTATTACGCGGATCACTAGAATTTCTGTGACTGCTCTACCCTCTCTCTCTTGCCGTCTCTTTCACACATGCTGTTGCCTTCTCTCTCTCTTCTGAGTGCAGAGTGCCAAGAGCCGAGTGCCTCGACATTCGACTTTGCTCGTTTCGTTTGTTTTGACCAATTTAGCGTATTAACTTCATCATCGCGTTCCACACGCTTTGAGCCGCTTGTATTATGTAGTATGTATTATGGCTATATGTGTTCATCACCAGCTGACTGCGTGGGTGTAACGGCCGCATACAATCGCACAGGTATTATGTAAATTAGCCCTTTTCCTGGCCGAAAAGGTAAAACGTTACTTTTGTAATTTATGCAACGGAAATCGCCCTAATTAGCCATCGCGAGCGGGCATCAACAGCTCATTTAACAAATTAGCGTTTACACCGGCATGCAAACATCACCGCAATCAATAGAACTTTGGCTATGATTTAGGGTTCGATTGGGTGATACTCAGTAGAGATGGTTAGAGCAACCCTACAGGTCCCTTTAAAATCCCTTTAGCAAATAAGGAACTTAAGTTTTTATAATAAAATATTTACGTAAGTTAAAATATAAATAAATAATATTAATTTCATACAGCTGACTTAATTATTTAGTTCTTTCAAATACACAAAATGTTTTCATTGCAAATCTAAGAGGACTTTAAATATTAGTTTAGTATTAGTTTAATTTGTCAAGTTAGTATATATTTAAAAACGATAGACATCTTCATTGTTTTAAAAAAAACATTTTATATTTACCTTATTTCTTAAAACAGTCTCTGAATACCATATACAATTTAATTAATTTTCTTCCTTATTTTACTTAAGGTTCATCAACCGTTTGTAGTCGTCTGAAATGTGAGTTCTTCGGGAAATATAGGCATGTAGTAACGGCTTATATGGATCCCAATCTTATATGGATTCCAATCAGTTGCATACGCTCCCTGTAGCAAAATCTCTATCCGCCTTATACGCCTCATCTTTGGGATTTTTCAACTACCGGGTGTCAAGTCGACACTAGGCAATGGACGCAACAAATACGACACCTGAGTTCAGGTGTTTGGGCGCTGCTTTGTGTGAAGAGGTGATTTGATTTTGACGGAGCTGATCAAACGCGAATTCGATGACGGTGACGAAAGCGCAAACGGTGACCAGACATTGTCTCTTTGTTCGCGCCTAATGAGCGTTTCAGTGGAGATCGAGTGTCGTGTGTGGGGTTTTCGACCATATTTTTGTCGATTATTAGTGGCATTTTAATTTGCTTCGCTTCCGATTTCCATTTTATGCGAGTCATTAGATTGTATCGGAGTAGCTGTGCTTGTTTCGAGGGCTCTTGAATAAAGTTTCATGCAGCTGTATAGCACTTCGCAATTAAAGCATGCATATTTTCAGCACTTAATAAATGCGATGCCCACATGTTTTCACACAGAAATGTGTGCTCATGTGTCAACTCATCGTTGGGAATTTAAGTACAAAAGACCCTGCAGTTCAGCAGTCCCAGTTGGCTCGTAAATCAGTTGCTGAATTATTTGCTTGTTTTCCAAATATAATCTCCTTTAATTTGGAATTCAGGTTTTCGGTTACACAATTGCCTACTTTTAGGCTTTTAGCAGCTGCTGCCTGAAAGTAGGCAATGAAGAAGAGGGCCTACATTTGTGTTCAACTCACACTCACTTGTGCACAAGTGTGCGGAATCTATGTTAAACCGATAATTTATTAATCAAATAATAAAGTTTACTCGTTTATTAGGATAATTTTAAAGTGATTTAATTCATTTTGTGCATAAAATATCCACTTAATTATTGCACTTTTCGAATTAATTATAAAACATATTTCAAATGAAAAGTGTTAAAGTAAAATAAATAGCCAGCAATAATGTATTTAAATATTGGTAAAATAGATTCAAAGTAAATTGTTTTTGATACTACAAAAATATTTATTTAATTTCGTAAAATAAAAACCATTAGAACCTTCAACAATTCACAAAAAAAACATTAAATAAATATCTTACTATATAAACTAAACGAACACTCAGCTCTCAACACTTACAGCACTATTATATTATGCTCTTAATAAATTCAGTAAAGTGTTTAACATTTTCCTCTTTTCCAGCCTTGTTATTTTGCCCAATTGTTAAAACACCAAGGCAAAGTTCACGTTTCGCAGAGCAAATACTTTTGACTGTTAACACAAACATACGGTTGGACTGGGGCAATCTAAAATCACAGCGGGAAGCTAAAGAAGTGGGGCTAGAAAAACTCTGGGGCTGGGGAAAAGTTCACGCCATTCGCAGAATCATGAGCCAGCATCTTCCGTACATAAACACTGTTCGGTTCAGAAGTTGTGGCAACCGCATCTGCAGGCGAGAGAATAAAGGAACTGAACAGAACAGAACCGAAGACTCTTGCCACATGCCACATACATCCGTGGTTGCCAAATTGGGTGCCACCCGGCTTCACCTTCCGCCCCTGGAGAAATATTGCTGCGTCAAAATGTTTATTGTAAAAAGATTAATAAAATATGTATAGCTGCAGATTGGCAGGGGAAACAAATCTAAACTTCAATGAATATTAAATTCAAGAGACATATTACTCATACGACCCGTTGTCGGCCCAAAAAGATTATGAATTAATCATTTAAAATATGGTTCTTTGGGGATTGTTCCACACTAACTAAATGCTTTGTTCTAAACATAAACATCAAAGGAACTATGTTTTTGGCTTGAGGTAGGTTTGCCCAAAAAAGAGAAGGGGAAATTGGACAATAAACTTAAAACATTTTTAATATTTATTGCTCGTGTGCGAAATAAATCACTTGAAGAGCCACATCATCGGAGCATAGTGAGGAAAGCCAAATGATTAATCATAAGGTCAATTCCCCGAACACTTGGAATTGTTTATAAAACCGCCTAAATGCCTTTAAAGAATAAACTTAAAAGATATTCATTGGTCGATCATTGCAGATGAATAAGCATTTTAATTCGCATTTTTTCTGTGCATTAAAAAACAAAGATAGATATCAGATGGGAAATAAAATATTTTTATGGGATTGTTTTCCGCGAAAATCAAGTTATGACATCTTCATTTCATTAAATATATATTTTGCTTTCTTTACTACTGTCAAAAGTATTTTTTTTATATTTTATGCCTTTTCAAATATTGACAATTTAAATGTGGGTCAAAGTGATTCCGATATGGAAATCAATATTGGAATAAATAAATTCATTTTGTGACCCCTAGATTTAGATATGTATGTTTGGCCGTTTAATTGCCACCGTAATGGCCAATAGGCTCATGTCCACTGGACAAATGCATTGTTTGCCAAGTACCAAGTACAGAGGATCCATATCTGTGTGGGTATATGACCTACCATATAACATTTATCAGCTATTAAGTCATGCACAAATCCAGATATATAAAGCGCACCCAGAGAGCTGTGGGGATCCAATGCCAACGACAATAATATCAGACGAAATAATAAAAGCAAGCGGGGTAAAAGCCACAAATAAGCCAAATTATGAGTGGGTGTTGAAATTGAAAATTGTGAATTGCGGATTGCCGGGCGATTATTGTGTATTTATGTGCACATTTAGCACAATTAAAAATTAACACACACATGGCGGGAGTCTCCCATACCAAAAAAGATATATTCACGGAGATGGAGATCCGATCGGGGCAATATAAACGAAACAGAAATCAAACAAAACGACGCCTTGGTCAAAATGCCGGCTCTTGAGGAAGTGGGCGAGCGAGTTTTTACAGTTATAGAGCACACACAGCTGCTCCAATCCAATGCCTACCTATCTTAGCCACTTAAACAAAGGGGGTTTGGGGAGTTGGGCAGGGTCTTTCCCCCTGGCGTCAACAGAAACAACGAGTGCACACAGAAAAAACTTTGAAAATTTGTTATCTGCCTTGAAAGTTTAACATCTAATGCTAAAAAAATATTTATTAGATCATATTTGATATCATATTTTTCAAATTTTCATTTTATAAGATCATTTATAAGATCATATTTAGATCAATATTTCCCTATTATAACAGCGAATTGGGTTAGATTGTATAAACTTATACTTGTACTATTATCCCGAGCTATGAATACTATTTTTTTAAGCCCCTCTATAATAATAAACTTTTTTTCAGTACAGTAAACGTGACCGGTTGCCGGCAGGCAATGTACAACAACAAAACCAAAAACAAGGGACCGCAACTCAAGAAACGGCCTGGAGAGGAAAAGAGGAAGAAAAATAGACCATCAACACGAGTGCGAGTACGAGTACGAGTATGAGTACACGGTCCATCCAATACTCACATGCGATACCTAACATTTAAACACACACATGAGCGCTGCTTGAATGGCACACCATATAAGGCATACAGAAGTGTTCACAAAAACTAGGATATAATATACTTTTTCTGCAAAAAAAAAATCTTAAAAATAAAATATAATATTGTTTTTAAGTGGGCGACACCAAATTTCTTAAAATCAAATAGTGTTTTGAAAACAATTTCCTTGATATAGGAAAAAAGTCTTAGGGCTCTTATTAAAATTTGTATTTACTAGAAGTTTTATAAATAAAAAATTAAGAAACATTATAATAAAATAATTCCTCAATAACTTGTCTGAAATGTGCTATTAATATGACCCCGCCTGTGGATATACATAAATAGGTGCCAAGTGGAGGCACGCATGACGCGAGCTTGGCAAAACTCTACGCCAGCTATGTTGGATGGGGTTTTTGGAGGGGTGTTTTGGGGAGTGGGGCAGGTGGTGCGGCCTCATGACTGTTTTATTTGAAATTTTTTGGAGAAAGGCCACATGGTTACACGGAGAAGATGGAGAATAGGCCGATACAGCGACTGCAGTGCCAGTTTTTTTTTGGGGAGGAGGAGGACTTTTG